AGATATAGTTCATGAACCAAGTCAAGCAAGAACAAAAGGAAGGCCTAAAGGGAAGAGGTTAAAGCCATTGAGAGAGATCCGCAAATGCCGGCCTAGGAAATGCAAATTGTGTGGAAAGCGAGGACAAAATCATGATAGTAGAAATTGCCCTCTAAAGTTGTCGAGGTAGTGTCTTATTTTTTTTAGTAATACTAATGCTATTTTTTTGAAAGCTTTTTTTAAAATGTTGGTGCAACCATGCAATAATCTTTAATGTGTTTTTTTTTGAGTGATTCAATGGAACAAGATAATATTGATGAAGCCACTGATGATTTAGAAGATTCCTTTGAGGAAGGTAATGGTTAATACATACGGAATAACTTGTACATTGCTATTTTTTCAATATAATGTGATTTTTTGAATATAACGTGTTCCAAGTATCCACATCTATTTGGATACGGATGCGGTACATTCGCGGATATCCATATCTTTTTACATTGTCATTTGAGACCTATTTTGATCTGAAAAATCCCCTAATGACACTGCTAAGCATGAAAGCAATCATCCATAGTAAAAACCATGGAGTCTCGGTTGGTTTAGTTTAAACCGACAATTATGTGCCAGAATCTCCAACATCTCTGGAAAAACTAAGGTCATAATCATTCCCCCAACACTATCTGGCTTCTATGATATGTGAGACTTAATTATCATGTCAAGAACCACTCTATTCAATTAACTTGTTGGATTGTTGGTTAACAGTGTATATATATCAAGCTAACATTAATTCTTATCAGGTTGATTGTCAGATACGCCTTGTTTGTCTGCTTAGTTACGTGTATATTCTTAAATATGCTCATATTTGAAATTGTACTGATAATGCATACCAACTTTAATGACAATAAATAAATTTAGCACTAATTGTAAGTAGACCCATGAAGTATCTCTGTTTGAACACTTTGATCTTAATGTTTTTTAATACAGATGAAGTTCTCACTATTGCGTGAAGTTTGATCAAGGTTGGCGGAGTAAAATTCAAGGACAAGACATCGTTGGGGAAATGGCCTTCATTGCTGCGAGTGTAGCTATAAAAAGAATTTATTTTTGTTGTAGTTATCAACTTGTTTACTTTTGTTGTAGTTATCAACTTATTGGGGATTGTTTGCTAGAGTTATCAACTTGTTGTATTTATCAACTTGGTTTAACTCCTAAGATTCTACTGCTGATGTTCGGATGCCTCCAAAAATTGTATGCTTATTTCATGAAGCTGTATGTTCTTTTCTTTCCTATTCTTGTTGGATTCAGATTATAACTTTTTAAGACAGGCTTCAGATTCGTTTGTATGTATTTTGGTGGTGTAATCCAGTATGCATAAAGCCTCAAATGTTATTTTGTGAAAAATAACTGTTATTTGGTGATCCGACTTCAAATGTCATGGAGATATATGGTTTTCTTTCAGCTTGTGATTATCTAGTTTTCTGATTACTTGATTTGTAAATCTAACAGGCTGCTGTCAGTTATGCTGCTGGGGTTTTGTTCAGGTGAGTCAGGGCATTATTGTTTTCTCTGATTCTGTGACGCCAATACAAAATAGCATGAATGATCATGACATAGCTATTAAGTATCTGATTTATACATTACCATCAGTAGCAATTAAGTATGCAATACTTATGAACACCGACCTAGATACTCTGGACAGCCCATAAAATAAGCGCTCACTTGCATGTCCTAATAAAAAAGAATTCATCACTCCAGCATATCCTCATTACCCTTTTGGCCACCAACGTTCCCAATCCAAAGATCACCAGCAACAAGCATATCATGTCTGTGTTTACATAAAGGTGCATATAATATCAATTTCAATCAAATACATCAAATACAAATCTTACTCATCCAATAATACATTCTTACACCCTACTTAACACAAATCCAATTAAAATACCAAATACAAATCCAAGAAAAATACCGAATAAAAGAACAAATACACCAAGCTTCAACAATTCCATAATATCAATTTCAATCTTTCTCTTTTCCCGAACTTCTCCAATTGACACGACACTTGAAACTTGCGGGATCACGCTCGACTGCTTCGTTTGAACAAGCCTTGCCTTTGAACCTTCGAACTCCTCTTCATCAGACACCCATTTGAAAAATCCGCAATTATTCACTTTCCAATTAGCGCATCCCAAAAACAAACGACCAGGGTTCGTCTTAGTTCCAGATCTGGAGAGTATAGCCCTCCTTCCACAATGGCATATCAATCCATGACAAGTGCTTGAAGAGGACTCCATGTACCAAAATATTCAACTTTATCATGAAACCAAATTTAGTCATGATCAGTAAGGCAAATTGAAATAGTTTGAACCTAACTACAAGAGGAGACCTTGCAGGTCATGATCAGTATCAGGCAGTAGATGCAACCATGCTGAAATTTGAAGCAAATGTGACACTTGCAGTAAAATAGGATTCAAAGATTTTTTCTCAAATGTGACACTTGCAGCAAATTTGAAGCAAATGCTGAAATTAGAACTATCCTCATGTATAACTCATTAAACAGGAACTAAGGGTTTTGACTAAAATCAGGAACTAAGGGTGACTAAAATTTGAACAACTCGGCTTTAGAACCCATCTTCACAAACAGCAAGCAGGATTAGGAAAATTCAGGTCAAATTTTTGCTCAAGTCCTCTTCCCATCTTCACAAACCATGCTGAAATTTGAAGCAAATGTGACACTTGCAGCAAATTTGACACTAAGGGTGACTAAAATCCAACAAACTCGGCTTTAGAACCCATCTTCACAAACAACAAGCAGGATTAGGAAAATTCAGGTCGGATTTTTTTGCTCAAGTCCTCTTCCCATCTTCACAAACCTCGACACACTTACAAATCAAATGCTCAGCGCAGACGAAAAAAATTAAAATTTTTGCTCAAGTCCTCTTCCCATCTTCCCATCTTCCCATCTTATATTTTTGTATAACTCATTAAACAAAAAGAACCCAAAATCTTGAAAATTAAAATTAAAATTTTACAGGAGCTAACGGCGAAGCCTGGCTCTGATCGGGTTCCGATTTCAGTGGGCCGCGTGTTAATCCACGTGCACGTCAGTTAAGGGGACGTGGGCTAGCCGTTTCGCATTTAATGCGAAGTAGTGGGCCTCTTCGTCTCTCACGCCCGATTCGGGCCGTCGTTGCAGATCGTGGTCACGAACCGTTAGATCTCGTCCGTCCAGATAAGATCCGATCTGTTCGGCCTTACCCTTCAACTGTTCCAGCCTTGAACGGTCTAATCGAGTCTCGAGTAACCGCCTAGGACTCTTAGGTATTTAATGCCCCTATCCTCTGTTAAGAGGATCTACAGGTCTCCCCGGAGTGGACCCGACTTTCTTCTTCCTCATACCCCCAATGGCGCCGAAGGTGAAGAGGGTTGTTTCCAAGAAAAGGAAAGAATCTGGTTCTTCGGGTGCTGCTGAAGGTATCTCCTTGCTTCAACTTGTGTAAGTTTAGTAGGTGTTCCTCCCCCAACTGTTCCCTGTATCGCTTGTTGCGTCTTACAGGTCGAGAGGAGGCGCCGGCTGCCGAGGAGCATCCGGCCGATCCCATTCTGATTTCGGACGACGAATCTGAAGGCCGTGCGAACTCCGCTGCTTCGGATCCCGCTCCCCAGCCGGGAGCCGAACCTTGCCTCGAAATTCCTCCCATCACGACGCTTGCTCCGGGCCAGAGGTCTGTTCCCTCCGAGTCTCAACCGTGGCAGGCCCGTATTGAAGAGTTCGAAGGTGCTGTAAGGCAGGCAATTTCCCTCGTCGAACTCGGTATGGGTAGCTTTGACAGCTTCAGGCAGTCCCTCTATGATCGCGTGGCCGATTTACGGCGATCAGGTGAAAACCGTCTCGCTACCCGTTGCGTGCGTGAACTCCGTCTCTTGGAGCCACGCATGATGGTGCTAGAGGACTTGCTACGGGGAGGTCCGGAGGCTAAAATGGCATCCTGTCTAGCTCACTTCGGGCGTCAGGAAGCCCTGGAACAGGAAACCCGCTCCAAGGAGATAGCGGATTTGGAGTCTGCGGCTAACTTTTGGGTGAGCCAACAACGTTTGCTAGAGGAGCAAGTCATTGACCTCAACCATACCATGGCTCGCCTGAGGGCCGAGTTAGGGCAGGCGGAGGCGAAGTGGAAGGCGCTCCAATCTGACGTGGTCAAGGTTAATGAGAACGCTGAGGCAGAGACTCGACGCCTGCTAGCTTTGCGCCAAGCAGATGCTGCCGCTGCGTCGAACCGCGAGGACCGGATCCGGAAGGCTGCTGAAAACAAGGCTCGGGAAGACCACGCGAGCCAGGTTGAGGCGGTCAAAGAGGAGATTTCCACCTTCAGCGTGTTCGACTGAGACTTCTGCCTCAGGACCGTATTGGGATATTTTGCTTGCTTGCTTTTTACATTTTGGGACTATGCCATGACTCTTAAAGTCATAACTTTGTTCAAATGTATTGTCTTGAAACGCTGGGTGTATGTTTTGCTTCTTTGAACATGTTATTATGACTTTCGCAATTTGCAGAAAACATAACTTTGTTCAAATGTACTGTCTTAAAGTATCAATGAGGTTTTGTGTCCGCTCATTGCTTGTGTATTGGCGAGATTTAATTTGTTTTCAGGCGAGATTTTGATCGCGGCGAGTTCCGCCTGGAAGCTAAACTCAGCTGTTGGCGAGTTCAAGCAGATGAGTAACCTCTTTTGCTGGCGAGTTTCGCTTGGAAACGCAACCCAACGGCTGGCGAGTTTATGCTGTGTGCGAGACCCGTATGATGGTGGGCTTGTGTTGAAAACCCGACCCGATTCGCCTGGCGAGTTTGAATTGTAGGCGAAAACTCGAGCAGTTAGCGAGTTGATCCAATAGTCGGGGATCCGACTGCGGGCGAAACTTGTGCCACGTGTCGGTCGGCGGGCCCAAGTGCTTGCCAGCCAAGACTCTGCAGGCGCATTAATGCCCATTTATGGTGAAGCGACCGGTCGCTTCGCCTCTCGTGCCCAATCCGATCTGTCGGTTCGGGGTTTCGAGAGCAGCCTTTAATGGCGTCGAGTTCGAAGCGTCGCAGGGCGTTTGGACCGCTTGATCGCTTGGGGTGATGAATCTCCACCGTTAAATTTTTCGGAATATATACTTGCACTTGCTCTTCTCCAGCAGAGTCCTATATATATATATATATATATATATATATATATATATATATATGTATATTTGCTATCTCATTTACTGTGATACTTAAGTTCTCCTTTTGATATTATAAATATCGAAACGAGGATGTGGTCGAGGTAAAACTCGAACCTGGAGAGCTGGGCATACAGAGCCGAGCCGCAGCAGGCTCCACAGTACTTGATCGACTTCATGACACCATTAGCAGCAAGATCTTATAACACTTGAGGAGCAATAAGGGTATAAGAAGATTTATTGAACGTCGACTTAATACCAAGCAGAAGTTAGATGATTTCAGCATTGAGGACATCGCTGGAGAATCGCAACAACATCCAGATTTTTGATAGGGTAGCGATTATCACCAATTTAGGAGAATTTTTTGTCACTACTTCAAGAAGAAGTTAGAGCTAGTCTAAGTAAAGCAGGGAGATATACCCATAGTGAAGGAAGAAATCAAAACCAGAATAGTAATAATGACAATGGCAAAAGAACTATTACGGAATCTAGAGAATCCTAGCAGCGGAAGAAAAAAAAATTTACACAGCAACAAGTACAATATAAGAAAGGAGCACGATGTGATTCGTGAGCGCCGAAGTAGCTCAAAGTACGGAGTACATGTTACAACCACAACAAGATCAAACAAGAACGGAAGACTTGTCGTAGTACATTAGCAGGAAGCCAACATGATAGAGGTCACAGTCGATGGTCTCAGAGTCACAATTTCGATCAACAGCGGGGAAATAGAGGCACTACTTGTTACTCCGAGGATTTAGGGACCAGCAGGACAGATTTACATTATCCAGGAGATTCTTGAAGGACAAATGGTCCCATATATGTTGCATCGCTAGCAAAGTTTATTCAGCAATACCGCGTGATTAG